GTGTGTGTGTGTGTGTGTTTGTGTATGCATATACTTCACACTCATAAAATGCAATAAATGAAAGTTTGATTTAATGACAACAAATAAATCTATTTAAGTCTATTTATTTTATCGATCTATCATTAATGATGGATTAAATATTTTTGGGAAACTTACAAACATTATCTCATCATATTTCTTTGTTTCTCTCATTTCAAACTTTTTGTATAACAATTATTCATTCCTCTTATTCATCCTGTTTAGTTTACAATTGATATTAATTTACTGTTTGCATAACTTAACTGTAATCATTTCATCAGATTCTCTGCTCTTTTAACATAACAATGATTGGATTTTCCGTGGAACATTAATTAAGCTTTAGTGATATCGAACATTGAATATTTAGTTAATTAATTAATTATACCGTAGTATGCTTAATCATGGATGATTGCACATTTTACATATGAAAAAAAAGTAATAAGGAAAGATCACTGAAAACTCAGTTTTTTTGAAATTAATACCACCTTTTTTACATGCATATTTCAATTTGCTTATTCATTTTTTTTTTCGAATTTATTCTATATTAAACATTGATAGAACAGATTCTGCAAGTGTATGATGAAATTGAAATTTGAAATTATTCAGAATTTTTTAAAATTACTCGAAAAATTATCTTATCAATATTCTCTATTTTCAAAAACTCTTTTAACAATTGATTTATTAATTTTAGATTTGTAAAATTTGTTTATTTATCCATTAGCAAAATAAATTTTCAAATTGAAATTAATATCAACAAATTTTTCTTTTTTGTCTTCAAAATTTCCAAATAAAAATGAACAATTCCTGGTCCCTAAAATTATCCGTTTTTTTTTTCAATAATCTATTCGTCATTTTCAAACTTAATACCACCATACTGCTCAATCTAAGGATATTTGAATGGGATTAATGGTGCCTTTATGAAATGTATATTATTTGAAATGTTTGTTAAATGATGGAAGGATTTAGAAGTGATGATAAGTAGGAGTTGAGGAGAAGGAAGGATAGGTGTGTAGTAAAATTTGTAACCCCCTGCTGTTATCGATACTGAACTGCTACTTCTTAAGGTATATATTACCTTTTCATTTCATCAACCTAACTCATTTATCCTCTCTCTCTCTCTCTCTCTCTCTCTCTCTCTCTCTCTCTCTCTCTCTCTCTCTCTCTCTCTCTCTCTCTTTTCATCTAACCTTTCCTCTCTTCATCATCCATCCATCAATCTATCAATAATCTATTTTTGTTAAACAGGTCATCCACTTCACCTTTCTCTCTTTTGTACAGTTACAGTTATACAGGTATCATAGCTATTTTTGACAATAAAAAAAATCACAAATAATCCGATTATTAAAGATCATTTATCCAACAATAAATTGTCATTATTTGCTATAATTTATCTGCTGATAGTAAAATTTATCCCACTTTCATTATCCTCCAATAAATCTAACCCATTGAAATAAGAAGTTACTTGTGAGTGTATTTATTTATGGATTAAAAAACATTTTAAACTTTTAACCAGAAAATTATTGTTGCCAAAAAAATATGTATGCAAAATAAAAGTTTATAATTAGAATTGGAAATTTTTGCGAAACTTAAAATGCCAATGATTGTTAGATATTGAAGCAAAAACATCACAGATATGGAAATAATTTGAAAAAAAAAAAAGCACTGAATTGAAAATTTGTAAGATTGACGGAGTAAAAATACTAAAAGGCATGCTTATAAATGTTTCCATTTTCTTTTTGTTTCACAAATTTGATGAAATTTTATATTTACAAAAAGATTTAGAAGCAAATTATCCGATAAAATTTTATATTTTACAAAAAAAAGTTAAACTTCTTCTTTCGAATCATATAACTTTGGATGTTTCCGAACTGCTTCTATACTTTGAATGAATAAGTTAAAATCGTTCATAATATTTAAAATTTGATTCTAAAAATTTTATCAGCTTTTATAAATTATTGTTAAAATTAAGTTTATGTTCAATTCATAACTAGTCTCGCAAATGAACTGAATTAATTGAGCCAAACAAATCTTCATTTTTTTTTATCAGCAAAGTTGTCACTGATTAATTAAATGTCATATATCTTCAGTAAATTTCATGATTATTCAACTACTTACTAATATACGTGATATGCAAAGAGAACTTTAAAAACTGTATGATAGTTTGAAATATATCATCATATAATCTTTCAAGCTCCATGATTAACTTTATTGAAAATTCTCCCGAAATGTTCTGTACAGCATCAGCCTTTGTGACATTTACAATTACTGGATTAAATTTTACAAGATTATTTTGAGTTTTTTTTTTTTTTTTCTAGACGAAATATTTTTTCAAATTAATTTATTGCCCATTCTTCCAACATTCATTCTAATGTTCCAATAAAATTTCATGAAACATATGGTCGGTAATTTTCAAAGAGAATCATTTTTTTTTTTCTCCGTCATTTTTTATCGAAACATATGTTCTGTTCATACCGATCGTTATTTTGGTTGATGGTGAAGTGTTGAAGATATTCGATGATTGTAACAATGACAAGAACGATAAAAATAGTAATAATAATGATAATAATAATGATGATGATGATTCTGATGATAATAATAATGATGATAATGATGACTTAGCTATTGGTTCTGCTGCAATAAAACACCAAATCAATAAGCAATAAAATACTGGACCAATAATTTTACCTTTTCAATAGTTACTTTTATGGGTTGTTTCGCATCGTTTTTGAGAATAAAAAAGGAAAAAACGGACCCATTTACTTAAAGAATTGCTTACAATTTTCTCTCTTTTTTTTTGCATTACTTATGAAGAAATAAATAATTAAGTAAAAACCCAAATATTGTATTCTTTCTCTCTTTCTCTCCCTCTCTCTCCCTCTCTCAAAGATAATAATACTAATACAATAGTAACCAATACTGTAGAATATTTTGTACCATTTTTATTAATTCGACACAAATGCAAATTTAATTTTATAAACATTAAATTAGATTTATAAAATTTTTCAGTTAAAAAATTTGCTTAATTTTTGTAAGTTGAATGAATAACTTTTGAAGAAGAAGTAACCAGGTTTTTCAATTTGCACCTTTGCAGTGTAAATAGTTTAAATTTCGAACAAAAAATAAAATTATTATGGATTCAATCCATTAGAAATGAAAATATCACTGCATCTGTTTGTAAGAGTGTTTTTTTTTCTTCCAAAAATTTAGAAAATATTTATCAATTTTTTTCTCCACCGACAATAGAATTTTTAAGCTTTAATTTAAACTGATTAAAATTTTTAAGTTTATTTTAGTGTGAAATTTTTTCATCACCATTGTTCACTATAATACTATCATAACCAGGCGTTAAGTTTGGAAAATGTACGTATGCATGTATGTGTATTGTGTGTGTGT